CATAGTTATATATAGCATTTTTTCATCGAGAACAGATTTTGTGTTTGTTCGCGCCTCCAGGTTTGTCTTAGCACGTTTAGATGAAATTCGAAGCATGTTGTTCAGTGTCGGCATGTCTGATCCAGATGTTTTGCACCATTTGGTTCTAGCAAAGTGCCAGCGTGCTTAATTATTTTTTGGAATTGATGGGATTTTTTCCAATTTCGACGAGTGTCGTCCGAACTATTCCGCTTCGCTTCGTGTCGAGTCCAGTGTTAGTCTCAATTTTCTTCGTGGCGCGTGCCATGAGTTGCTATCAGATGCGTCAGTTTCGAAATTGGTGTCCAGCAAGAAAATCGATAGTTTTCTCTTATTCTGTTTTGTTGCCTCTATGTTTTCGGTGGTTCTACCGTATACAGTTTATTCCGAGCCTGGATGTTTTTTTCCTTTGTTATGTGTTTCAGTGAAGAAAGTTTAGTTTGTTTCTGTTTTTGTCTACAATTTGGATTTGATATTTTTCGTGCAAGGTTCGTTCGCGCCGCGCTTGTTCCCCGTAGCACATCAGCAGTAGCCCCGTTTATGTGCCTGGGTTTTAGAGCAGTGCATGTTTAATTTGGTCGTGTTTGTCGCTAAGTTTGCCCGTCTTGTTTGAGATCGATCAGCGGCTGTTTTGAGAGAGCGTTGGGTGCATTCTCTCTATAAAAAGCTTGCTGTTAGTTGCTCAGGGATTACCGGGGCATTCAGTTGACCGGTCAGTTTTCGTGGTAATGTTTTCGTTTGGCGCTAATAGCGCGTGTCAGTTCGCAAGCAGGGGCGCGCGATGCAGCTATATTTTGTTTTGCGCATCAGTGTTTTTTATTTGCATCGTGTTGTATTTTTCGATCCAGTCGATGTGCCCGTCGTGAGTGGGCGTATCTCCCTACGAAGTGTTTGTGCAACCGCGTTGTTTGCTCGATGATTCTTGCGATGGCAGTTCTCGTTTTTTGTTTTTTTTGGTTGTGCGAAGCCTCCTGGGAATAATCGGGCCACGCGGAATGTCAATTCTCAGCGCGATTTGAATGCGCTAAAATCACAGCCATAAGCAAAATAAAAGTGAGGGAGGGGAAGGAAGCGGAAGAGAGGGAAAGGGCAGGAGAGGGGGGGGGGGAAGTAAGAGGGAACAGGAGAAACGACAAGGCGAGAGAGGAAGAAGAGACGGGGGGGAGCCAATCCGAAAAGAGGCAAGCGACTAGGCGGGGAGCTGCAGGTCCCTGCAGCAGCGCAGGGGATGATGCGAGAGCGGGTTGAAGACAATCAACGCAGAACGTCGGACAAAATCGGGGGCACGAAGCAGGAGAGGGCCCGTCAGATGCCAGGCGTGGCGGCGAGGGGAGCGAGGGGGGGAAGAGGAGCAGGGCAGAAGAAGGAGGAGAAGCGGCCGGGATGATTGATAACAGAACGATTGATAACGCCAAGCATGGCGATGTATTGCCTGACAGAGAGCGGAACCAGGCAAAATACACTAAAACATCAAAGTCTGAGACTGCCAGAGGAGAATTGGTGCTGCGCAGCATTCAAGGGGGCGAGGACAGAAGAAGGAGGCCAAATGAAATGCACGTGTCTTATCATGGATTTGCCACCGCAGTCGCTGATGGTAGACGAGACTTCGCGCGCTGAAGTCGAAAACGACGCCGAGAAGCTCAAGATAATATTTTCGAGGCCGGCTGCGCAAGATTATGTGCATGCTTTCCTTTCTTGGATCGGAAACAACGCTGTTAGTTGCGCGAGCGTTTTTTTTTGCATTCGGCTAGCATGCGATGCGCCTGGTCGTCTATAACACTAATCGATCGCCGGATAGCATTGAGGTCAACAAAACAATTTCTTTGAATCCAGCGGCGCAAACCGCCGTGCAAGAATCGCAGAGAATGCATTAAAAAACGGCGGGTTCAAGCGGTGCCTTGATGTATCATGGCGCCGTGCCTTTCTCCGTCCAGCTAGCGAGAAAGCCAAGCGCGCTCTCAAAAACAAATAAGCAAACGCATCCGCAAAGATATTCATTCAGGCCATGAAAACGAACAGCAAGCCGGGCCACAATCGGACGCATCTTATCAGAATGCAAGGACTTACGGCGAATTGGCGTGACCAAGTGTGTTGCTAAACACATCCATCACCAACATAACAGGCAAGACTCGGCCATGGCTGACGTCTTCGCGACCTCCCACGAGAGTTATACAACGACACACTTGCGAAGACAGCCCGAGCACCAATCTCCCAACAACGCCGCGCAGCAAGGCACCAGCCCACAGCTCGCTCGCGACGAGCTTGACGCAGCGTGCGCCAATTGCGGACACATGGAGCTGCTGACGTTTTGTGAATATTTGTTGAACTATCGAAGTTTGAAGGGGATGCGTTTCGTTCTGGTCTTCCAGATATGCATAGCACAATTCTTGTTGTGCTCACCGGCGCCCCCCAGCATGTGGCGCGCAGTGATTAAGGTACTTCGCAGAAGCGGGGAGCCACAACAGCGACAGAACTACCGCCCAATCGCCGGCATTCCGATGTTACCAATTGCTTCCGCGGCTTATCAACGACCGATTACAACCGCAATTCAACAGCAGCGAGAGCGCCGACCAGGCAGGCATCCGACCCCGCCGAAGCACCACGGACCTTTGGTTCACGACATCCGTATCATAGGAAGCTGCAGACGAGTGGCAAATCGCAGTATAGTCGGCAACCGTAGATTTCAAGCAAGCATTTGGCAGCATCACACACGTGAGCATGTGGAGGGCCATTGCCGAGCAAAATACGCCTGAGTCGTACGTCGCACAATCGAAACTTTACCGGGGGCAGACAGATTCAGTGCACGTAGCAGAGCTCAGGATGGCTGACTATTTTTCAACAGCGCATCATGCGTCGAGCAACAACGAAGTGGGCAATAAAATTTGGGATTCAAGTTTCTTTGCACGTTAACAACCGGCTCGTCCATTTACGTTTGCGAATTTTTTTCGTCCGCCGGTCTGCGAACGACAGCGCGCACATGCTTTTTCGATCTCATTGCCAAAGCGGGGATCGCGGGCAGCTTTATCCAGATAAAAGATTTTGCACAGTGATCACCGACCCCTTCAAAATTGATCAAGAAGGCGACGCAGAAATTCGAAGCGGTATCCACCGTGTGCAGACGAAAATGGAAGTTTATACAGAAGTTGAGTTCAACAGGCGAGTAGAATGGACGGCAAGTGATCCTCTGGCGCCCACAACACGAACCAGTCTACACGGCGAAGCACAAATTTGGACGACTCGTAATGGGGTGACGACATAAGGTCTTATTTTGGGCGTGAGATTGGAATTTGATGATATTTTACAGATTACATCAACCGAAGATAGGGAAACGGTGGAAGCGGGTTTCGTCCAACGCCACGGTTAGTATCATCTTTTTCTCCACGTTCTCCTTCTAAGATTTGCCATGTTAGATCGCCACGATGAACGGCTCTCCGGCGCTGCTGCTGCCAGCTTTTTTTGTTTGTTTTTGTTTTTCCTTCGTTCGTGCTATTCTCTTTTTCCTCCTTTTTTCATTCTGTTGTTTGTTTTCCTTTTTTCACTTTTTTTTTTTTTGTTTTTTTTTTTTCGGTGCCTGATCGGCGCACGCGACGACGTGGTATCAGTTACCCTGTATCGTTGGGCGGTCTGGGTCACATTTTTTCCGCGGGATAATCCATTGTGGGCTACATGAGGGAGTGTCCGTGAGCATTTTCTCACGATTTGCGAGTTTGCCTTATTTCGCCTGCCTTTCATTGTCAGTGGAGCTCCTGCTGGCGCCTGGTTGGCGCGCGCGGCGACATGGGATTAGTTTCTTTCCAATGTTGGGAGGGGTGGATTTTGTTTCTGAGTTCCAACCTTTTTTTTTTTTTTTTTTTTTTTTTTTTTTTTTTTTTTTTTTTTTTTTTTTTTTTTTTTTTTTTTTTTTTTTTTTTTTTAAAAAAAAAAAAAAAAAAAAAAAAAATGATGGAGCTTTCAGGATACAGCTTCTGAGTGCCAAGTGTCCGAACCAAGATTTTCCTTGAGAGCGCTGTAGTTTCCCTATAATGGTGGGGCATCAGTCCGTCAATAAGGCCGCCAAAACAACAAGTTTTTTCCTTTTTTTTTTTTCTGGGGGGGGGTCTACAGCGCTTTCGATTGAGCCATCTTGAAGGCCACCTTCAAGCATCGAATGCGCTTTTGGAGCTTGGGCGATCGCGGAGCCCCCAACACGCTTCATATGGGGGGTGGGTACACCTCCCCGAAGGAAAGAGGCGCTCTGGACGAGAAAAAGGAATCATCGTCGGACCACCAACGCTGAGAGGGCTTGTTCGGAACGGCGGCCTCGGGGTTCGACAACCCTGAACATTTTTGCGGCGGTCCAGGGGCCAGGAGACGGCGTCCAGATGCCGATTCAGCCAATAGCTCGTCGTCATTATTCTCCTGCGTCGCCCCCGCTTGCGGGACCCTCCTCCTCCTTTGCGTCCGCTCCTGGCTCGGAGGAAAGAGAGCGAGAGAGAGAGAGAGACAGAGCGATAGAGATATATATATATATAGAGAGAGAGAGAGAGAGAGAGAGAGAGAGAGAGAGAGAGAGAGAGAGAGAGAGAGAGAGAGAGAGAGAGAAAGAAAGAGAGAGAGAGAGAGAGAGAGAGAGAGAGAGAGAGAGAGAGAGAGAGAGAGAGAGAGAGAGAGAGAAGAGAGAGAGAGAGAGAGAGAGAGAGAGAGAGAGAGGAGAGAGAGAGAGAGAGAGAGAGAGAGAGAGAGAGAGAGAGAGATAGAGAGAGAGAGAGAGAGAGAGAGAGAGCGAGAAAGAGAGAGAGAGTACGAGACAAAAGCGACACCATCACCACCACCACCACGGGGGGGCACCTCCAGCGAGGAGGTCCACGATGCTTTCAGTTGGGGATGAGGGATGTCTCTGCAGCGAGAGGAGTGGACCAAAACATTAGGAAACCCTCCCTGGCGCTTCCCGCTGATGGTGGTGATGTCGCCTTTCCTTAGTCCTCTTGACACTGTGAGTGCAGGTGCATATGCCCCAGCAGTACCCGACCTCAGCGCTCGTGGGCCTCGTGGAGGTGGTGGATGTCCTGAGCGCGGAAGAACTCGCAGCCTGGAGGCCGACCTCGAGCGGGCGTGGGGGAACATCTCGAGGGCAGATTTGACACGTTTCGGCTTTTGGGGGCTCTCGGGATGATCCTTTGATGCTCCAAACGTGTGTGAACCAAATTTTCTTATGTTCGGGGCGCAGCCCGTAATCTGATTCTCGGGAAGCAGATTGTTTGGCTGAAGTGACAGCTGAGTCACCAAAGCCGTTCGATGGCAGTTTTATTTCTGGGGGTGACGAGATTTCGGTTGCAGTTTGGGGTTGAGGATATTTCGCTGGCAGTTTTAAGTGCAGGGGGTGAGGATATTTAGCTGGCAGTTTTATGCCAGGGGCAGTGAGGAGGTTTCACTGGCAGTGTTAAGGCCAGGGGTTGAGGATGTGTCGCTGGCAGTTTTAAGGTTGAGGATATTTCGCTGGCAGTTCTAAATCCAGGGGGTGAGGATATTTAGCTGGCAGTTTTAGGCCAGGGGGGGTGAGGATATTTCGCTGGCAGTTGTAAAGCCGGGGTGTGAGGATATTTTATTGGCGGTTTAAGTCAGGGTGTTGAGGAGATTTCGGTGGCAGTTTTATGCCAGGCGGTGACGATATTTATTTCGCTGGTAGTTTTAGGCCAGGGGGTGAGGATATTTCGCTGCCAGTTTTATTCGAGGGGTGTGAGGATATTTCGATATCTCGCTGGCAGTATTAAGTCAGGGGGTTGAAGATATTTCTGGCTGGCAGTTTTAAGTCAGGGGGTGAGGATATTTCGCTGGCAGTTTTAAGCGAGGGATGTGAGGATATTTCGCTGGCAGTTTTAGGTCTGCCCCAGGGGAGGGGTCGAGACCTCTCCAGGGGCAGCGCTAGGGGGGGGCTTACGAGGGGACGCATCGAAGCCCATGTACCCAAGCATCGTCGATGTGGCATCGCGCAATGTCGCTATTGGGGGTCTTTGGCCGATCCATTGGCGATGTGTCGCCGATTCCAGGTCGATGTCCTCTCTCTCTCTCTCTCCCCTGGGCCCGTCCCCCCAGGCGCGTTGGCCCGCAGGCCCGTCCGGGCGGCGGCGCTCGCGGCTGGGCGGTCGCAGCCCCGCGTGGGTGGCTCCAATGGTGGGTCCTCGCGCTCAACCTCATCCGTGGCACCGCTTTGTGAGAAATCACGACGTCGGGATCTTGGTAGCCCCACGTGACACCATCGTTTTTTGTTTGCGTGAACTTCTGAAATTTTAACGTTTGTCACGAACGGAGTGCCCAGAACGGTCTGCCACCAGCTCGTGGGTGGGGGGGGTGGCCTTCGGGAGCGGCATTCTACGGAGTTCTGGTGGTGGCGGCTCTCTATGCTCTCATCAAACTGCGAGTCCTCACGTTCGCCCTCATCTAGGGGCCCGCGTCGTGCGAGGCGCTCTCCTGGGCTCAGACGTCTTCGTCCAGGCCCCTCTCGCGGCGCGGCACCGCCCGCTGCAGCTCGACACGGATGGGTCTCCCGCTGCTGGGGGCGGTCTCCTTGTGAGGCCTCAGAGAGCGCCCTCCTTGGCCTCGAGGGTGTGCAGGTGGCGCCCTCCCTTCGATGTCCGTTCATGAGAGCCTCCCGTCCTAAATTCCTTTCGGAGCGAGCATGTCTGAGTTGGGCGCCCCCCGGGAAGGTTGGCCAGCACTTTGGTGGAGGTGTCTTTTGATGGGACTTCTCTCAAATGCCAGTTGGAGTTCACCAATTCTGTCGTCTTTGGCGGAATCAAGCTGGAACCAAAAATGGGCTGCGGAACGGGAGGCAGAGACTGGCGAGAAAGTCCCCCATGATTCTGCAATTGCATCACTGCGGTGCCCATGGGCGGCGACATTGAAGCCAGCTTGTCCTGCATCTGAATCGCATTTGGACTGCCTTTGGCCCTTTCTCCTGATTCCTGATCCTCTGCGCCCTTCCTGCTCCTTCTCGCCCTCCTCGTTCCTCTCGTCTCCCTTGTGATGGGGCGAGTCCGGTCCAAATCTGGTCTCTCAAATGTGTCCAGTCAAAGTATGTCCCAATCTATTACAATTTCGGCCCCTACCAGGCAGCGCCAGGGGCTACGCATGCTCCTATCGAACGGACACCAAACAGGAGGGCTTGCACCGCTCACGAGTGGCATGGCGACCAGCCCCCCCCGCTCCCTAGAGGGAGGAAAGCGTCGTCGCCACTCAGGGGGGGGGGGAGTGTGGAGAGGTGGAGCGACCGGGCCGCTCGCTGTGCCTGACCTCATCATTGTTCACAATTTCAAGGAATTGTTTCTCATAAACTTCCTGTTGCGCCACATCACCTCAATTCGGTGAACATGTTATCGCGATTTCATGTAGAAGGTAGTGGGGAAGCAGGACGGACGGAGAGGAAGGACGACGTGCAAACTCGGATCGAGAACTTGATTACATATGGGGGTAGGTAATTCCGTTCCCGAGGCGAGGGTTGGCGCTGGACCGTGCGAGCAGGTCTCCCTATCCCTGTTCTACTTTACATCTTCGGGGGACTTCGCCTGTCCCCAGAATCGGTGTCTTTTATTGTGCCTGACGCGGGTTCGATGCGGACTCGACGCGGATTTGGCGTGGATTCGACGTGGATTCGACACGGATTCGACTCGGAACGAGTCCGACATGGATTCGACACGGATTCGACGCGGATAGGGCCGCGACGAGAAGACAATGTCCCCCGAGGATGCAACATAATCAATGTTTGGCATCACATTATCGCGGTGCCGATCTCAAGGATTCCTTCAGTTTCTCAGTGCACATCGCAAAGATATTCCTCGCCTTTGGCTTTCCACTCCTGGGGGTAGGGATAAGTTCGAGGCTTGTTAGCTGCAGCGCCCGTTCGGGCGAGGCTCTCAGTGAGCCTCTTCGGCAGACTGGCGCTCCTTCCAGCGGCGGCTCTCCGTCAGGCCGCAGCTCTCCTCCAGGGCTGCAGCTCCCGTTCCCGCGGTCGTTCTCCGTTTCGGCCGCAGCACTCCTTGCAGCTGTAGTCCTCTTTCCGGCTGTGGCTCCCCTTGTGGCCGTAACTCTCCTTCAAGTTGCAGCTCGCCTCCTGGTTGCAGCTCCCTTCTAGGCCGTAGGCTGAAGCTCTGATCCCAGTCGTAGCTCTCCTTTACCCTGTGGCTCTATTTGCGACTGTGGCTTTCCTTCCAGCTGTGGCTCCCGTTGCGGCTCTTAGCTTTCCTTCAAGCTGTAGCTGCTCTGCACTCCGCAGTTCTTCTTTAGGCTGTAGCTCTCATTGCGGTTGTAGCGTTTCTTTAGGCTGTAGCTCTTGCGGCTGTAGTTTTTTATGTCCATGGCTCCCCTTGTTGCCGTGACAGGCACGGTTGTCCTTCAGGCTGTTGTTTGCCTGCAGGCTGTAGCTTGCGTTCTCGCTGCAGACATCCTGGCTGTATCCCTCTTGGTGCTGTCCTTCAGGCCCTTCCTCTCCTTCACTCGATAGCTCTCCGTCAGGCTACAGCTTTTCTGTGGGTAGCTATCCTTCAGGATGAAGCCCTCCTTGCGGCTGTAGCGTCCTTTCTGGCTGTAGCTCTCCTGCATGCTCGTCGTCGTAGGCATTCGGGTGCCCCGCCGTGATCTCGTCGGCCAGCAACCGTACGGCAGTTTTTGTGTGCGGCTCGTTCCATCGCCCTCTTGCAGGCTGTTTGACGGCACCAGTCGCCCAGCAGGGTTGTCGGTTGCCCGATTGTTATTTAAAGTGCAGCCCTTTGCCAGAGGCCTTCCCTCTGAGTGCTTTCATGGCCAGGTCCGTTGGGTTGGTTGGTTGGTTGATTAGCTGATTGGGTAGCAGGCGCGCAACTCGGTTGGCTGGCTGGCTGTTTGGATGGACGGTTGCCAGATTAGCTTGCTAGTTTCGTGTCTCTAAAGTGGTTGGTTCGCAGGCTTCCTGGCTGGCAGGGAAGCTGCTGTCCAGCTCGGCGAGCGGACCCAGTGTACTTCTGTTGACAGCGCGGGTTCGCAGTTGTTTGGAAGAGATCGTGGCCTCGTTGAGAGCGAATCCGCAGTTGTACATTTGCGATTGTGGTTTCGGGAGCGCGTCCCCGCAGTTGTTTATACAGGTGATCGTCATTTCGGAGATACCGTGTTCTGTGTACGCTTCGCTGGTGCAATGTCCAGATCTTTCCCGCTCTGGCACCGCCTTCCTGGCGAAAGTACCCCCCCCTCCTTTTGCTTCTGTCTGCAACCCCCACCGCACCCCACCCCTCACCGCAGGCAGGACCCCCCCAAGCCCGCGCCTCCCACCCGCATGCTGTACTACTTCCACCCGACTGGAACTAATGTTAACCGACTGGTGCAATTTTCCAATTGGCTCGAAAAGGCAAATCGGTACTAATTCCAACCTGCCGAATATCGTCACTATATGATTCTCATTGTGAGGCGATGCTAGGATATCTCCAAACCAAATAATTTGCTGATATCTGCACATCTATTCCAGAAGCTAAGGTGATTTCCAGGGTTAGAATCTGTACCAGGTTTGTCTAGGGATGTTACTGTAAGGACTCAAGGGCTTCAGGGTTTAAAGGGCTTCAGGGCTTAAGGGCTCAAGGGCTTCAGTGTTTAAGAGTTCAAAGGTTTAAGGAACTAAGGGCTCCAGGACTGGGCGCCGTCGGTCGAGCGTCCGGGCGGGACATGTCGTCGACGTCGTGGCCGAGTCGGTCGGGCGGGCGGAGGGACACGTCGTCGTTGTCGTCGTCGTCATCGTCTGCCAGCGCTAGGCGTCGTCGCCGTCGTGGTCCTCGTCGCCGTCGTTTGCCTGGCCAGAGTGCGGGCGGGAGGGTTCAGACCTTCCCCCGACATTCACCCTGGAGAGGGAGTTGGGCGGAGTTCGACCCCCCTTTTTCCCGCCCCTCTGGTTTCTCCCTAGCATATTCAGCAGACGCTCTTTCTGATTTGGGGGGGCGCGGGCCCACACTTGTTTCCCAATGGAGAGTTGGCTTCGGCAGCCCGGACCTACTTGTCTTTCGAGGGGGCGTGGACCAGCAATTCAAGCAAGGGGCCGTGTCTTCGTGACCGTGGACTCCCAAACTGTATCTTACTACG